TTTATACAATGTTAAAAAACAGCTTAAACGTTTGTAAAAATGTTTGAACTTACAAAATTTACAGTTATTTAGAAATCAATTCTGGTTGGGTGATATAATTTAATGTTTGAAAAGTCATATTACAATTGTTATTGGTCGAACAATATATCAGCTTGGCTTCTATTATTGCATGACTCTCTGATAAAATTTTGTTCTAAATCGGAAAGTTTATCTTCGCACGAAATGTGTCAAATAAAAATAAATGTTGTTAGTGGTTCTTGCTTCCATATTTTCTATTTGGTGAACGTGAGGTCAGACGAACTAGGTCATGTAACCTTTGCGGATCTATGGCGACCTGGACTGTATATTTAATTCTATTCGAATGAATCTATATTTCAACGATCTGGAAAATATTGGCCATCGATGATGCAATTGCGTCTAGCGTAAATATAATCTTAGCATTTCATGAATATTTTTATTATTTAAAATAAGCTACATTAGTTGACGTACCAAAAGCTATTTACGTTGTATCTTTCCAAACCGTTCGATGTTTATTTGCTTCATTTCTGTGTTGCAAATATATTACTAAACATTTTGTATATTACTATACAAATAATTACTAAAATTTACACTCAAAGTTGAAAATGTTCGAACTTGAATTTTTATTAATACGTTCGCAATCGTCGTTCGATTTTATATTTTTATATAATTAGAAATGTATTTTTTGTATAATTAGAAAACTTTAACAATGTACAATAATTTTCTTTAAATGCGGTATTATACGTTGTGAGTTTAAATAGCAAAATAAATACAAGATGAAAATTTATGATTATTATTGCACTTGTTGATTATTTGTCATTACGATATTCATTCTGGACGATTATTTGTGGAAACTTAAAATTTGTAATTGTATATTTCTGTTGCATTCAATTTCTGCCATTACCAAGTTAGAATTGTCTGTGACAAATCATGCGAGAATAGTTTAGCATAGAACACCCGCATCTATTCGTACCCTTCCTGAAGCGTACCGCCAATACAACCGAAGGAATCGTAATTTCGATCGCCAACCAGTTGGAAGCAAATGTTCCTCCAGGATCAACGGAAACTATCCTAGAAATTACAAGGCCAGGACTTGTATTTCTATATTCATTCTTTTCGAAACTTGTATTCCGAAGTCTCGCTAGATTCTTTGTATTTTCTTTTCCGATATCCACCGTGATCGAAGTTCGCGACCCGCGGACCTATACGGTACAACATGGCTCTGGGAAATTCAAGAGGGTTCGAACTCCGAGAACCGACGGAAATTTTGGTTTATAAAATCTGAGTTCCGATGACAAAAACAGTTCCATCTGATCGATGTTACTTTCCAAATATTTTGTAGAAATAAAATGCAACAGAAATATACTATAAAACTATTGACCCTTCTACGACGATATATCTACTTCAAAATTGATTCTAGAATTCGTGGAATGTGTTCGCAATAGTCCCAAATTTTTAATATCCTCTTTTTAATATTTTCCGATTTCTGAATTAGTCACATTTTACTCTAAGAGATATTACAAACGATTTGTGTTATTTATTCTATCATGTAGAATCAAGAGAATAGATATTTGTACAGATGACATATTCGAATAGATTTTCTTTCGTCAATACAATAAATGAAAATATTACCTAGTTTTCAACATTTATTTTCCGAATATTAAATTAATTTAACCTTCGTGTGCTATTCTAGGAATAGTGACATTTAAACACTTTACATTGAACTAGATCAAAATTGGCATTCAATTATGCAACAAAGATCTTTGGATTTCGATTGTAATATACATATATACAAAAAGAGAGAGTGTTTATGTTAAATTTATTTACATATTCCTATCATGACAAATGCAATTATTTGGAAATATTTTTTACATACATATACGTACGCAGTTCAAAACATACGTATTTTATATAAAGTTTTAAAAGGAAAACTTTAATCCGAAAAAAGAATTCAGGAAAAAAATTTCCAATGTTTTTGAAGCATTTTAATTTGTAGAATCTTCGAGTAATCCCTCGTTTTAAATGATCGATATCTACAGTGGTACATGTTCACATGTTCCTACATTTCTATCATAGGGACGTCAATAAAGTATCTGAAACAATCACTAAAATGAACCAACGAGAACATTGATGTTTACGGTTCCTGATTCCGGATTCAGGAAAACTGCACGGCATAATAAATAGGCAAAGGGCGGACAATAATAAAAGCACCGGCTGTCTCGCAGCAACAATTCATCCTCTATTGTTTTTTCAAAGCTGCAGACACTCCTGGCCCTTCGCCTAACGCTGTTTCCACAGGATAGATCAAATCTTCCGTGACTGCTACTCGATCCTCGAAAGACAACAGTGTTTATGCTAATCCGCGGATGTACTCGAGTTTCCGTGCTTTTCGGCCACTGCATAACGGAAATCTCGAATTCTGCATTACGTCCGGCAAAGGCTGTTATACTGCGCCAACATGCTATATCACGGGCCCTCGTACGATAACACGGAAGTCAATAATACTATACCTTCCGACCGGCGGCGCACATCGGAGACGTTCGGTTATCGTGCCCACCGAAAAT